CATTTTGAGTAGGAGTGATTCGTTGATAATCAACCATACAAGAAAATCTTCGCTTCGATAATTCAGCTGACCAATGTTAACGTAACAAGAGTAGTAATGAGCAACAAACTTGTGACCCACATAGGTAGTATTTGGGCCAGCAAGAAAAGTAGCATCGATATAGCGTTGTATTTGCTTGATAAACATACCTTTTGAATCTCTACTCGTCAGATAATGCAGGTGTACAGCTAAAATGATGAGACTTGAAAACCTGCTCTCAACTCCTTCGCACACAGCTGTATAAGATCAGTGTTGCTATACTAAATCCAAGCGTTATCCAAAAGAAAAGCTCACAGCAGAGAAATTCTTCGTTTTCTTGTTCAAAGTAGATTTCTGTAGTGCCTTCTTGGTATAACTATAACTGCAGGTTACACTACTATAATTCCAAACCTAACTTAAAACATTTAATGAAAGATATTGTTTTCAGAAACTCTATGAATAACGTTGCTGTTTACTTTCTATACTTAATCACCCCCCTCTCATCGCTCAGTGAGCATCCAAAACTCATAATTATTTCATGTGATGGTTTTCGATATGACCAACTGGATTCGAGATTGGTAAGTTAAGGGGAAGTATTTGTGTTGCATCCTTAAGCCAATCTTGAAGGTGCCAAATCTAGCAAAGTGGGCCTCCTCAGGAGCTCATTTCATTAACGGTGTAGCCCCTCAATTTCCTACCTTCACTTCAGTAAATCATATGGCAATTTCTACAGGTGGAGTTGAGAGCTGAACATTTCAAAGAAATAACTTCCCGATTTTAGGCCTTTACACTGAAAGCCATGGTGTTGTTTCAAATGTTTTCTTTGATAGATCAAGAGGCAAAGTGTAGGCAACAATGCGATGTAGACAACTGCTATAACAGAATATTCTAGATTCGATTACTGGAATGACACTAAGACTCCAGGGATCTACGCAGAAACGGTAGACGGGACGTTTTTTCGCCAATCTGGCGAACCAATTTGGATCACAAATGAAAGGCAGGAACCTTAGTTAACTAAGACAACTTTCGCCTTTTATGTTGTCTAGAGCAAAATATCATAGCAAACCTCATCATTTCATTGTATGTAAATATTATAAGGTCGTGCATTTGTCTCGATTTCAGAAATGGGGATGGAAGGCGTTCTGCGTGTATAAACTGGCCGTTCTGCGAGGTACCCTATCCTACGTACCCATCGGAGCCTTTCATGTACAGGTACAAACAGTAAACTATTGGTAACCTTTCAGTGGCGGTCGCAGGATTTCC